TTCTCTTAGAGATTCAGAAGGAAACCTTATTACAAACACGAAAGATATTCTTGCAATCTTTAAACAGTATTACCAAACTTTATATAGTACAGATCATCCCTCTGAGGGGAAAATTAAATCCTATTTACAAATTAATAAATTGGTAAAGAAATTAACCCCCACACAGCAAAATAATGGAAGAACCTATAACAATTAAAGAATTAACTAATGCCATAAAACAGCTAAAAACTAATAAAGCTCCTGGATGAGATGGCTTTACAGCCGAATTTTATAAGAAATTTGAGACCTTAATTTCTTCTCCATTGAAAGATATTTGTAACAATATTCTCACCACAGGCCTTGTCCCTCCAACCTGGTCCCAAGCAAAAATTATAGTGCTTCCAAAAAAGGGAAGAGATAATTTACTTCCTCATTCATATAGGCCCATATCACTTTTAAATTGTGATTATAAAATATTTACAACAATATTAACAAACAGACGTAATAGTTTCATAGGTAATTATATACATGTTAATCAATCAGGATTTATACCGACCCATTACAGATAATATCCGAAAAACAATAGGGATTATTCAATATTGTAAAAAATATTTAACTGATACGTGCCTTCTTGCATTGGATATAGAGAAGGCATTTGACAAAGTTGAACCTAAATTTTTGAAAAATGTAATTAGTGAGATGGGATTTGGAACTAATTTTCAAAGAGTTATTAATTCGTTATATGCCTCTCCTATGGCACAAGTTGCCCTCAACAATTCAATTTCTGAAGAATTTTGTCTTTCTAGAGGTACACGACAGGGGTGTCCCTTATCACCCCTGCTTTTTGCCTTAACCATTGAACCATTAGCTAATCATATCAGACAATCAGAACATATCCATGGGATAGTTATCAACCAAACTAACTTCAAAATTAGCTTATTTGCAGATGCACCAGTATGGCCTGATGGCCTGCAATCCTTCTGGACCGGCTTCACCTGGACCGGTCACTGGAGTATGGCTGCACCAGTATGGTGGAATCAGCTCCCGAACGAAATCCGCACTCTGCAGGATCTCCACCAATTCCGCAGAGCGGTAAAGACTGAGCTATTCCGTCAAGCGTTTAACAGCCCAGATCAATCATTCTAGCACTTTATATGGACGGCCGCCATGCGCAAACTGTAATGCTCGAATTGTAATTTTATTGTTAATAAATTATATTGGCTGTTTTATTGACTGTTTTTAGATGTACTGTATCAATCTTTACTGGTTTTTAATTGTTGTAAGCCGCCCTGAGCCGCTTCGGCGGGAGGGCGGGATAAAAATCTAATAAATAAATAAATAAATATGATTTCGTTCTTTACGTTTCTCATCCTTAAACATCACTTAAACAGATAGAATCCAAATTGACAGAATTTGCATCAGTTTCAGGACTATATGTTAATCAATCAAAAACTGTTTTATATCCAATAAATATTACGGAAATATCTAAAACCTTTATTCTAACAAATTTTCTTTACCAATGGGTAACACATCAGTGGTCATATTTAGGAATTAAAATCCCTCTCAATTTGCAAAATTCATTTCAAGTCAATTATATTGACACTGTTGACAAAACTAAAACTTTGTTAGAAATATGGCATAGAGAAAATTTATCTTGGTTAGAACGAATTTTATCTATAAAATCAATTATTTTTCCTAGATTTTTATATCTTTTTTGTGCTTTACCAATGCCTATTCAACCTCCTCAATTTAATCTTTGGCAGAATAATTGGAATAGGTTTATTTGGAACTATCATAAACCCTGGATCTGTTTTGCTACCCTTCGCTGACCAACTAAACTTGGAGGCATGGCTATACCGGATTTAAAAAAAATACTATGAGGCAACAATATTATCTACTATAATAAGAATTATTGTGAGTCTGCTGCAGGGCGGAATGTGTGTACAAACCAGTTTTGAGAAGTCTCATGGAGAGTCTAGCATGAGGGGTCACTGCTGTGGTAGATGCCATGTAACCCAGCAATTTTTGAATGTTCTTGGAGGATTGAAATCTGTTGGCTAATTTTTTTTTTAACTAGGACCACAATGGTATCTGCCCTTTGCAAAGGCAGGAATGTCCTTCCCTTGATTGAGTCAATCCTGGCCCCAATGAAATCTATAGACTGAAAGGGGGAAAGGCAGGTTTTCTCCTCATTAATAAGAAATCCTGAAGGGTGTAAAGGGCAAACTGTAGATTACAGCCTAGAAGAGCCAATCATCAAGGTACAGCTAAATGATGCATCTACTGAGTCTTAGATAAGAAACAACCACTGAGGTGTACTTAGTAAAACACTCTTGGTGTTGGTGCCTTTATGCATGAACCGAAGGTATTTTCTATACACTTTATGAATCACTATATGAAAGTATGCATCTTTAAGGTCAAATACTGTGAACCATAGGCCCTCTACCAGCAAGGGCAGTACCTCCTGTAAGGATAGTATTCTAAATTTTGGAATGTGTAGGTGTTTGTTCAGGGCCCTGAGCTCCAAGACAGGCCTTTTTCCTCTCCTCTTTTTTGCTGATTGTGAAATACCTAGAAAAGAATCCTGTATCCCCAAAGTCTGGTCAAGAGGGAGGAAACCTCTTGTGATAGAAAAAATGAAGAGGAGGACATCATAGGTGCATGATATAGAGGCAGAGACTCAAATTCCAATAAATAACCCATATTTATTATGGATAACACTCAGGAATCAGTTATTTTCAACCAAGTGTTGAAAAACCTGGACAACCTGTCCAAAAAGAATGTGTCCCACCATGCTAGTCAAGACATTTCTGACCCCCTAGGTTGTTGCTCCCTGGGGAAAGAGGAGGAATGTTTTTCTCTTTGCTTATTTTGCTTCCTACCCTGAGCTTGTTGGGGGTAGGATGGTCTGTAGGATTGTTGGGATGCTTGGGGAGCCTAGTACCTGTACTCTAAATAATGATAAGGCCTAGACTGGTGAAACTTTTAAGAATGCCTGGGAAAGTTCCTCTGCTTATAGGGTTGAGCTGGAGTGATCCCTAGAAACTTGGCCATTATGTTATTTTTGCAGATGCAGTCTAAGACGTCATCTGTCTGGTCACTGAAGAGCTCTCAGAAGTTCTTCAGTCTTGGCCTTTGTGTCTTGGGGAAGTGCTGAGGCTCTCAGCCAAGAAAGCCTCCTTAGGACAATGCCTGAAAGCCATGACCCTGCTGTGACAGTCTGCCAGATGGCTGGCTGCATTTAACTGTTGTTTTCCTAGTTTTTGCCTTTCCAGCAGTAACACCTTAGTGAGCAGTTTTTTCTCATCCGGGATCAATTAAACAAACTGAACAGACTAGCCTAGGTAATCCAATCTGTAACCTCTTTGTCCATCAGTGAGGAATGAGCACCTAATCTTCCTCATGCTAGTAGGACCTTGAAGACCAGAGTTGGCTTGCAGATGTTGAAAGAGGTAGGTGCCTTGGATAGATTTTCTAGCTTTTTGGCAGAAGCCGTAGAAGAAGCTGGTTTGGACATGCACTCACTGCAATATCCTGTATGCCCTGCAGCATAGATTGGTCCCAACTCCGAGCTGTAAAGGACCTTCATTATGCGATCCGAGGGTTGAGGTTCTGAAGAGAGGTACTCTAGATTTAAAGCCTTTGCCATACAAATGAGTTTTTCAGAGTACAATTCCAAATCTTCTGTAAGCGATGAAGCTGAGGGTTCCCCCACGGTGTCATCCAGTGAGGTCACAGAGATGTCTTCTGATTCAGATTCTGATCCGTGGTCAATCCCCTCCTCAGAATCTGAGAGCTGAGAAGCTGTATCTATGAGAGGGTGTTGCTTACTTGCATGACCCTTCTATTTCTTATCCCTGGGGTACTGTGGTACTAGCTGCCAAGGAAATGTTGGAAACCGCTGTTGAGGGTCCCATGGTCCCCACTGAATAGGGAACCAGGGGCTCTGTTGCGATGGCCCAAGTAGAAGCCCCTTGAGGCTCTTGTTGTTTACAGTGGAGAGGAGGCCCTGTGGGTGGAATTTCCTCATCCAATGACTTAGGGGAATGATGCCTGTGCCCCGACGGTGATAGTGTCAAGAGGGTGATGGTCGGTGTTGAATTGAGGGTGAATGGTGCAGGGGGGAGGTGCATTGATTGTGTTTTGTCTTCTTTGATTTTTTTAACCACAGTTCCAATAATGACTGTGTCACGGTCTCTTTCTCTGCTGGTTCTAACATCAAGGGTGTCGGCACTGAGGCTACTAAGGGGGCTCTCAGTCTCTTATCTGAATGTTTTCCCGTGATCCGTTCGGGGACACCCAATGCCTTTTCCCACAAGGCTGCTTTGAGCCTAGCCACTCTCTCTTCTCTGGCCTTCACCAGAAGGCAGCAGCAGGCTGGGCAAGAAGAAGTATTATGCCCTTTGCCCAAACATAAGAGGCACAACTTGTGTTCATCTTTTTGAGCCATTTTGGTGCCACACTCCCCACATTTTTTTAAACAATGCCATCCTACTTTCTCCAGAATCTCATGTAGAGGAAGAAACTTCAAAGTGATCTCTGAAGAAAAAACCTCGGTAAAGCTCGTGCCCTTGTTAAGGCAGCAAGAAGAGAACTGAGGAAACCGTGCTAGCTCCTCCGTCATCACGTGCCCCTTTGGGTGGGAAAGGCAATCCTGAAGATGGAAGGGGGGGGGACACTATTAGGCTCTAGAACTTCTTTTAAAAGCTTAGTAGCTTTTCTCTGAGATTGTGCAGTCCCCATGTGAGACTGCACAGAAGCCATGAGATGAATTTCCTTTCCTTCCTGGAAATATAATCAGATTTCAGCAAGAGACCAAAGATATTCACTCACTCACTCTCTGGAACCTAGATAGCTAAACAAGTTATTAGTGCCTGAAATGAAAAAGTGGGCTTACCAGATTCTAGTGGCCCCTAGGCAACATATGATAGTCACTGGCTTCACTAGGCAGTGGGGAAATCAGCCACTAAGAAACAACTTCATTCACAGCATACTCTAGAAAATTAATTGTCCCTTCTTACCAATTGCAGGAAAGTTTTTTCTGTACGTGAACCAAAGACGAGAAGTCACATCTAACAAGATCTCCTCTTTCTCTAAAGAAATGAAAATAAGGCATGTCAGTACACTTCCAAGGAGTGTCATCATACTGAGTTAAATAGATGCAGACTCAGTGATACTGGCATCAAGTTAATGTCAAGCCATCAGGAACTAGAAACACACAACAACTATACATACCAAGAGCTAGATTCAAGTCCAAGTAGCACCTTAGGGACCAATAAGATTTTCAGGATATAAGCTTTTGAAAGTCAAAGCTCCCTTATTCAGATATTAATTTTATTTGATCATGTTTACTGTCCTGACTTTAAAATGCTGCTGCATTTAATAGTAAAAGAGTCATATAAAGAGTCTCAACAAAACAAAATTCCACCATATTTGAACAGCAAAAATGCACAACAGGAAAATCAAGACATGGTTGGCAGGAAGAAGAAAATTAATCATGGCATGAACATCATAAAGGTAATGGAAAATAAGGGTGTTCTACAACAATCATAGCTGAAGAATGACAACTTTCTCTAAAATTCTAATGGAGCACATGGAAATTGTTAAGCTGAGAAAGAGGACAGATAGGGCTGTTAACATCAAGGGGCAAAGCTCAAGACTAAAAAAGACACACATATCTCCCAAGCCAAAAGGCCACAAACAGAGGAGGTGGGACAGCAGGGTTCAAAACAATTAGCTGAAGTTCTTGCTTCATATATTGGCAAAATACCTGTTAATACACTGTATTTTCTCCCCAGTATCCAAACAGGCTCTTTGGTCTCTGGGAAGTCTTCATACTCAAACCTGAGAGTATCATATGTTAGAGTAGCTGTTCATAAATAAAAACACACAAAGTATAAGTCACAGGCTCCTTTTAGAGTTTCTGTCCCATGAAAAATGCAAATATTGCAAGGTTATTACCTTTAGAAAGTTATGGTGATGCAAAGGTCATGGATGCACCACATCTACTTAAAATAAGTGGGCTTCAGTGGAGAAACATCAGTCAATCAAGAGTAACACAGACTTGAACTTAAACAATCTTTTTCCACCACAAAGGGAAAAAATTAGGCTTTCACAGTGCTTTCACTGTGTCAGATACCATTTAGCCAGTTTACCCCCCCCCAAAAAAAAACGACTCCACTTCCAAGATATTTCTGGGGGATGGGGGGCATTCTGGCCTGCAGCAGGAAGGGAAAGACAGAGAAGTTGTACTTTGCAGATGGAAATCCTTCTATCTGGGTAAATTTTATGCAGGATCCAAGCCAGTGCCCTTAGTCCTTATCACTTATTTTCGGCACCAGCTTTTGATTTTGTTTAAAACCACCATTCAGTCTCTTTTGAATTATCATACAGATTTCCTACAGAAAGCATCATTTGGTTCAGATTTTCAGCAGAGGTTTCAGCCAACACTGCACTTCAGGTGCGCCACACACAAGTGAACTGCAATTTATGTAACCCTACCCACCCAGCTCCTACCTCTACTTCTTGGGGTACATCTAAGCAGCTGTACGAGTGAGGGCCAGCAAGTTGAAGCCAGAGAGTGAGATGTCTTCTCAACTAGTGCTTTCAGATTTACACCACACTCCAGTCCTTCTACCATCTCCTTCTCCTTGATTACATACAATTGAGGTCCACTTAAGCACTGACCTCTTCTTGTTCCATTTGCTCTTTATATACCTATAATCTCTGTTCCTTTAACCCTGCTGATGCATTCTTCAGTTTCCCTGAGCTGAGAACTAGAATCACGGTCACACAGACTTAATGCCTCATCATTCCACTCTCTGCTCCTCGTTTCCCTGCATCTGCGGACAACTCTAAAGCGAGCTTGCCTCATCATAAATGACTAGCTACCATGTTACAAATAACATCACTCACATATTATTCCACGTACAGCTGAATCTTCCATTCACCACATGCAAAATCAAAGACCCACTCTACCCATCGTTGGAATCCAGCCATTTGCAGGATGCAGCTAGTCTCTGACTGTATGTACTCCACTGGAACCCTTCAGCTGGCCAGTCCTGATGCTCAATTGGGTTATGACCTGACCTAAAGTATGTTACACCAAAACCACTCACAGCACTTTTGTTTCGGCTTTTTAAAAAAATTATAAACATGGGGGGGGGGGGAGAAAGTGAGGAAGACTCCGGGGGGGGAAAGACAGGCACGTAAAGTAAAAATTAAAAGTGGGTCTCCTGTTGCATGCTAGGATTGAAAAAGGGCCTTCTTTTATTTTGCTTATGTCTTTGCGGATAGCATGCTTGTGCAAGCATTTAACAGCACTTTTAACCAAATGTTTAGAACCTTGATTGGTTATGAGGTTGCAGGCAATCATGAAATCTGGAATTTCTATGCATCTGACATCTTCTCAAAAATGTGTGCTCTGTTACTATTGAAAAAGATGAAAAATTATATTAAGTAGATATTTTATGTGTAGCATTTAGTATCAGGATAAGTCATGAGACTTCCTTTGGGGCTTAAGACCAAGATGGTAGAATGGACTTGTTTACATGCACACTACAAAGAAACCCCATCTCCAGAAATAAAAATCTCAGTTCCAGTCATGCTGTCTGGTTTGGACTAGCCATGACTATCTTCTTACACTACCCATGCCTCACTCTCTCTAGAGAACTATGAAAGCTGCCTGTTCTATAATTTGTATGTTATAAAACACCACTGACATTAAAACACAAAAGTGTAGCAAATGTTTTCCTCACCCACATCATAAAAGCAAGTTCACAATCAAGTAGAAGGATATCCTGAAACACCCAGATCACTTTGAAACTGTGATTAAGGCATGCCAAGTAACCATGACAAGGCATAAGGTACAACACCTGGCATTGATATTTTTTTAAAATCTTAGCTCTCACCATAAGGTATGGGCTTCCAAAAGAGTTGACAAGACACCATCTCTCAGCATTTTTAAGAGGTCCGGCAAGGCCACTTTATTTGCTAGAGCTTTGAATGGGTTATAGGCTGCAGGCATTTTAAGGGGGCTTATTTAGATTTCTATTTTGCATGTTTTAAATTTCGATTTATAAGCTGCCTTGTGCCATGGGGGAAAGGTGGGGTATAACTAGTTTAATAAATAACAACTCACAAGACTCAGTGGCACATACGGTGGTAAGTACATAGCAGTGGTAATTCACTCACATAATTCAAAACCATTATATTTTCACTGACTGAAGCAGGAAACATTTATATTACATACCTAACACAGCCAGTACCATCCATGGAATATGACAATACATGCTATGTCAAAGAAAGGACAAAAAACTAATCATAATGACAAACTGCCACCATTCTCTTAAAAATAATACTTCATTCTATACCCTGGCTATGAACTACCACCAAGACAACATGAGCAGACCTATACACCCGTTCTACCTGTCCTGTAACTTCCACACCTAAAACGGCAGAGTAGAGTCTCTCAGCAGCATGAAAGTCTTAATTTCTATATAAAGAACGGATAGTCTTTGTCAAGGTCAGAGCAACAGATGCCACACAGTTCTTCTATAATGCCAACTTTTATGATGCAACTTCAATTACTGAACAATCGCTTCACTCCTTCAACAGGAACTCCATAACCAACTGATCCTTTGTAACCCATGTTAAAACAGAGTGGCATCATAACACCACTTTTCATAAGCTAACAAAACTGTAGGTTAACATCTGTGTATGAAGATGTGCCTCAATATGTTTGCAAAACATGACTGAAATGAAATCAAAATAACAAAAGATGTATTCAAAGGCAGAAAGATACATTTACATGAATAAAAGGGCATGTAATGATTAAAAAAACTGAGGGAAACAAGAATTCTGAAAAGGAACCCCTAACATATGGCCAGAGTTTTGAATGTAATAAACCCAACTTCTGTTCACACAGCTGCAAGCTTCACCAGACAGCCTCAGGCAAGTCACTACAGCCTATTCTGCTTCATGAGCTCTTGTGAGGTTGAGAAACTACTGAGAACACCTTGAAGGAAAGGCAACAGAATGTAATAAAGCACAAATGGCATCAGACACAATGCACTAAAGAACCAACAATTAGACTTAAAACCAAAAAAAGCATCTTCTACAAGGAGAATCAGTGTGAATGATCACAGATGCGGGCCTGAATTTAGATCCAGGTGGTCAGCCGTGTTGATCTGAAGCAGTAGAACAATTTAGAGTCCAGTGGTGCCTTTAAGACCAACAAAGGTTTATTCAAGGTATGAGCTTTCGTATGAGCTACCATTCAAATGTATTTGAAAAAGTGTACGTGCACATGAAAGCTCATACCTTGAATAAACCTTTGTTGGTCTTAAAGATGCCACTGGACTCTAAATTTATTCTACAGTCCTGAATTGTGAGCATCAATCTGAAGTTAATAATCTGCAATGAAGTAATTTAAAGATTGTAATCCAATGCCAGATCTTTACATGTCACATTACTTGATTAACATATCAAAAATACTGTAACACTCAGACTAAAATGTTCAAAAGCAAGAAGCAAATGTTTTTATGAAGTGTCTTACAGTTTAGCACCCATTGGGCCATGATTAAATCAAGAAATCAAAAACAAAAAGAAAGTCTTGCTGCATCAATTTGGGGCCTTTCAATAGCAGCTCAGATAGACAGATATATGTTACCCAACCTCCTTTCTCAGGCATGATCCCACATACAACCATTGAAGCTACTTCAATGGATAAACTTTATCAGACAAGCATTCAGATCTCTCCAGAACATTCCCACATTCTTGTGTTTTTATCAATTTATTGAAAATCGTAAGGGGCAAAGTTTTCTAAAGACAGGGCCCCAGGTGGTGAGAAAGCACTAGCACTTTGGTATCCAGGTCGGTTGGCTGCTTTGCTGCGGTGACACGAACCCTCTGGCTTGGCCAGCCAGTACATAATTAAAATCCAGGGCGTTTGCCTCTATTAACAAAAGGAGAGTGGGAGACGAGACGTTTACTGAGCTCCCTCAACAACTTCCCGCAATTTCCACCTTTATAAGGAAGCACGTCTGTTTCAGATACCGCCTTCTGACCCCAAGGAACAGAGTCAGCACAGCCTCACTCCCCCCACCCCACAACGGTCCTCTCAGCCAGCCGGAGACTTCCTACGAGCCCCCTCTCAGTACAAGCTTCTCCAGAAAAACAAACCAGTCCTTCACACATGTATCGCCCTGAGCCCCAAAGACACAGACAGCCCCCTCCAGTCCCTCGTCAGATTTCCCCTCCAAGTCCCCCGAGACACCCGCAACCTCACCCGCGTCCATTCTGCCCCCGCTCAAGCTTCAGGAGCGGCCACTTCTGTCTCCTTGCAGACCCAGACCACCACAGGGGCGCACTCTAGCCCACTGGCTTCAACGGTTCACGTCTTGCCCAATCGCAGAGCTCATCACAGCTGCTTCGAGTGGCGATAGGTCAACTGAAGGGGCCAGTAAGCTTTTCTGCACTACACTCGCTTCCTCTTCCTAACCAGGGAGCTGCCATTTTGCCGTACGGATAGTACAGTTCTATAAAGCGGGATCGTCATTTAGATCCGATTTCGCATTCCGCTGAGTCAGGAGGAACGTTCGTATGTCTTGAATTCGTCTTCCTGATCTCTCTGAGAACAACAACAGCAACAGGGAGTTTTAATAATACAGAATGTGGGCGTCGCCATCTTGCTGTACGGAGTACCTAACCTGGCAATGTCTGTCAGAGCAACCAGTATAGGTGAGACGGCCATCCTCGTCTGTCTTCGGTTCCTCCCATTAATAGTTGAGGTACACGGAAGAAGGAAAAGGGGAGGGGCGGGGAGATGAAGGCTCCGAGTGCTGCTGTGACGCGGTGACACCTAAAGGGGCAGGGCCACTGAGATGACAGCTCTCTTCCGTACGGAACTAGCTCATTACGGCTGTGTGGAAGCCGCCGGAGAGGAGAACCTGGCTGGCCCCGCCATCTTGCTGTACGGCTGGGGAGGGGGGCGGAGGAGGCGAGGGGGGCGGAGGCAGGGCCGTCCGTGCGGCCTCCGGAGATGGTGATCTGTTGCGCGGCTCTGAATTGTTCCAACCGGCAGGGCAAAGCTCCCCGGGGCCGAGCGGCCGTCTCCTTCCACAGGTAACCGGAGGGAGGGGAAGAACCGCTGCTCGCACCTGGGAGGCAGACGGAGCCCTTCCCGTCTCGACTTATAGACGGCTCCGGGCAGACAGACGGACGCTTCCGTGTGGCCCTTCCCCGCCCCCCCCCTCCTTCTCCTCCTCCTCCTCCTCCTCCTCCTCCTCCTCCTTGACCACAAAGCCACACGGGCCGCCACACTCGCCTCTGCGGGCCCTCTCTGCCCCACTCCTGGCCTCAGCTCACCTCCACCTCTCGGATCCAGGAAGAATGGGGGAGCATCCCATAGACAAAAGGGAACGGTTCCCGCCCCCACTCCTGCACGGTCTTCCTGCCTGCCGAGTTTGGGTGGAGGGAGAGAGGGATGGGCGAAGGCAGAAAGTTGCCTGGAACTCCCCACCCCCCTTGTTTGGGATTAGTCAAAGAGAAAGGCGGTGAGGAGGCACTCTGTACATGCTTCTGCATGGTGGTTGCCACCTCGCGTTTGGTGGCTGAGGCCTAGCCTGGTGGCAAGCTGCAGAGCTGAGTCTTGGTTCAGACGTAACTAAGCCTTGCCTTGACCTCTCTTCTCTGTCCCCTCTCAGGTTTGTAAATGTGTGGCCTTCCTGCTTGAAGGGTGTTTGCCTGAAGTTTTGGGGAAAGGGAGTATGCAGCGGCACCTCACTGCAGAACACTTGTACAGGTATCAAGGGTGCAGCATACCTGCCCCTCTTTGGCTTGATGGAGTCTTTCCTAGCTGCCGTTTGGTGGGTGGTGCTTTTCCTGGAAGTTGCAATAAGAGAAAGGTGTAGCTGTTGAACTAGTCCCTGCCACACAGCTGTGAGAGTCATAGCACACTTGCCAATTCTTGACATCTTGAAATGGATATGTGTTCTATTTTCATAGCAGGTGAAAGAAATAGTCCTTTCTGTAGGCTGCTCTGAAAAAAATAGACCAATCTTTATAGCAAGTGAGAGATTTTCAGCTCCTTCCAGACAAACATGTTATGTCTGTCTTCTTCACTGTGAAGATAAATTAAAAACATACTTTTTAAAGCTATACATTCTCACAGACTTCTGTAGGCTATTATAATGCTATAATTTCTCTTTCAGAGAGTAAACAATTTCTCTTTCAGATGAGCAAATCAGTTGACTTTATCATACCCATTGTAATAACAATCAAAATTTATTTTTAAACTGAAAAAAGACACACCTCTGATGATCAAAAAGCAATGGGATATCAGTTAATTTAAGGTAAAGTTAACATATGAAATCTCTGTGTATTTCACATTAAGATTGGTCTCAGGAAGTGCCCAGCAATCATGTCCAATTTATGCATGCATGTTTTTTACATTTCTGGATGGCATGCAAAAGAACTTGAATAATGTTGTGTCAGTTTCAAGGTGCAATTTTGTAATATTTTTGATACTGTTATTTTGGCAAAACATTATGCACCCTTATAGATAGTAGCAGAATTGCTTCCTGTCTGAAACAAAAAAAGCAACCACACCTCTCCAATCTGAAAGTGAAAACAGCTGAACAGTGAATGCATGTACAGTACTATAACACTGCAATCCCGTACAGTTACTCCCTTCTAAGTCCATTGGTTTCAGCTGTCTTAAACTGGAGCAACTCTGTACAGGGATGTGCTGTAAGCTTATGAAACCTTGACTTGCTAGATCAGAACTTGCTAGATTAGTCCATCATTCAGTTTCCATTAGGAGCTATCCAGATGCCTCTGGGAATTTGTAAGCAAAGCAAGAAGGTGATGTTTGTCTTCTCTTTGTTCCCAGAAGTTGGTACTCAAAAAGTATACCATCTCTGACTTTAGACATTCTATTTACCTGTTATGGGCAATAGCTATTGTGGGTAATAACTTTTGATTGATCTATCCTTCATAAGCATTTTTTTTTTTTACTTAAAGAGAGTTTTAATATCAATTTTGAAGCTCCCTATTAGCATGTTCCACATATTTAAAAATGATTTCACAAACAGCTGCGGAAGCTCATTTAGTTTGTATAATCTGATTTTCTGGCATTAACCTATTCATTTCAGGTAGAGATTTCAAATAGTGGGTTGCTACCATTGGTACGAACAAATGTTAAGTTAGCAAAAATGTTGTGTCAGCTAAATTAAATCTCTAAGCAGAGATCATTCTTTGTCTGCACTATAATTATATATTTTGTTTTGCCTAGGTATCTTTTTTCTTTTTATAATAGAGCATTTGCTAAATTAAATAAGTAAACTGCTGTTTTGTCTGTAAAATGTCTGAAGGATTGTTACATAAGAACATAATAGGTACCTTGAGGGATCAACCAATAGTCCATACTCCTGTTTTACACACTGCCAACCAGTTGCCTTGGAAGACCAACAAATGGGGCACAGAAGCCAAGCACTTCCCTTGATGTTGTCTCCTAGCACTGGTTTACTGCCTGTAGATGTGGAGGTTTCCTTCAGTCATTATAGTTGGTAGCCATTGACTAGAAGTGTCAAATCTTTTTTTAAAGCTATCTGTGCTAGTGGTCATCGCTAATTCCAAAATTTACAGTGCAATCCAAAGCAGAGTTACACTTTTCAAACTCCACTGCAGTCAGTTGGCTTAGAAGGGTGTGACTCTGTTTAGGACTGTACTGTTGATTACTCGTTGAGTGAAATACTTCCTTGTGTCTATCCTGAATCTTTTGCCCATCAAATTCATTGGGTTCCCCTGAGTTCTAGTATTATGGGAGAGGGAGAAAAAGTTCCCCCGATATACACTTTTCCTGTTCCATACATAATTTCGTAGGCCTCTGTCATGTCCCTACTTAGTCATCTTATTCTAATGGAAAAGCTTTAGACACTTTAGCCTTTCCTCATAGGAAAGGTGCTCCAACATCTTGATCATCTTGGTTGTCCTCTTCTGCATTTTTCCATTTTTGCAGTGTCTGTTTTGAGACAGAGCGACCAGAACTGCACTCAGTTTTCCAATTGAGGCCACATCATAAATATAGACAAAGGCATTGCAGTACTGGCATTTTATTTTCTGTCCCTTTCCTACTAATCCCTGGCATGAAGTTTGCGTTTAACACTGCTACATACAGAGTTGAAATTTTCATTGAGCTGTCCACTATAATCCCAAGATTTCTCTCCCTCTGCCACCAAACAGCTCAGTATATATCTCTTTTTGTTCCTGTGTGGGTCACTTTGCACTTACCTACACTGAACTTCGTTTGCCACATTGTTGCCCAGTCACCCAATTTGGATAGATCCTCTTGGAGCTTTTCACAATTCACTTTTGTTCTCAACATAACAAATAATTTGGTTGAATTTGCAGATTTGGCCACTGTGTTACTCAACACCAATTCCAGATTCTTTATGAACAAATAGTACTCGTTCCAATACAAATTCCTAGGGGACCCTGCTGCTTACCCCTATCCACTACTAGAACTGACCCCTATGCTATGATTTCTGTCATTTCACCAGTTTTCAATTCATAAGAGCACTTGTTTCTATCCCACAGCTTTTAAGTTTACTCATGAGTCTTTAGTGAGGGACCCTGTCAAAAGCCTTTTGGAACGCCAATATTCCTTCAAAATCTTGAGCTCACCATCATGATTTAGTTCAGATAGGGGTTAATATACCTCTACTTGTGAGTTGCTTTTAGTATCCAGTATTTCCACTCATAGCAGTTCTCTGGGTGAGTTTATTCCCCTTATGTTTTCTAGATTATTTGACTGATATACACATTGATACACAGAGCAACAGCACTCATAACACATCCTTCACTGTCCTGCCTATAAATGTTATATCCAGGGATTCCTGTATGCCAATGACCAGTTTCTAAAATGGTTATCATATCAATGTTGTCATTTAGCATCACAGATTTCAGCTACCCCTTACAGGTGTCTAGCACTGCAATACAGACACCTGTACCTTGTTTTCCTGACCTGGCCATCAGTAGTCCTTTGGCCTCTTCACTCTCATTAGTACGTTTTAGTCCACTTCCTCAATTGTTACCATTGACTCCATCACCCTTTAGGGATAAGTCATCCTAAACTGGAGTCTTCCTACTTCCTGTTAGCATCCCCTCAAAAGTTAGTTTGAAAGCTGCCCTGCAGCCTTTTGATATTAAGTGCTAGCCCCTTGTTCCATTTCAGATTAATTGAAGCCTATCTCTTTTGTACAGGTTTGGCTTATTTCAGAAAGTTTCCCAGCATCTGATAAACCTACACCCTCCTATTTTCTCATCCATTCAGTGAGATCCTTAACCTCTGATTGTCTAACTGCACATAAAAGGTAAAGATTTCCCTTGCTCGAAAGCTAGTCGAATCCAACTTTAGGGGGAGGTGATTATCTCCATTTCCAAGCCGAAGAGCCAGCGCTGTCCAAAGACTTCTCTGTGGTCATGTGTCCAGCATGACTAAACGCTGAGGCACATGGAAAGCTGTTACCTTCCCACCAAAATGGTACCTATTTATCTACTTGCAATGTCTTGCTTTCAAACTGCTAGGTTGGCAGGAGCTGGGGCCAGAGATGGGAATTCACTCTGTCACGCAGTTAGGGTCTCGAACTGCTGAACTACAGACCTTCTGATCTGCAGCTCAGCGTCTTAACTACTGAGCCACCACAGCCCCCTAACTGCACATAAGCAGGTAGCAATTCTGAGAATGCTCCCTTTGAAATTCTGGGATTTTAACTGTCTGCCTAGTTAGTAACACACATTTTCCCTCCAGGACTGCAAAGCTACATTTGCTAATGTCACTGGTGTCAACCTGCACCACAACCACTGACTTCTACCCTGCATTAGATACCAGCTGACCTAGAAAGAGGGTGATTCCTGCAGCCTTCAATCAGGCTGTCAAGTCACCAGTACTAGGAACCTACCTCTTCCCTACCCAGAGGGGTATTCTCAGCACAAGAGGTTATTCAGTATATATTTTTTCTTTCTTGATTGCTTAAAACAAGTGTTTCTGTTGATACAGAGACTCAGTTCAGACTTCATGTAGCAACCTGTTACTTGTATTAATCATAGGTCTGGATACAGTGCAAGGACTGGCTGAGGACCAAGCAGAGATTTCCAGGCTTCCTCCTCCCCAGAGTAGCCATTTCTAACCCCACAGAAAGTTTTATTTCCAGGATTGTGGGACCGACATGGAATAATAGCCAGGTGGATCATGAGGGAGACAAAGGAAAAATCACTCTCTTCTTCCTCTTTTATCAGCAGAACTCTGCTCTCTCCCGAGGGAGCAATTCAGCCCTCTTTCCCCTGGAGCCCCGAACCTGTGTGGCTGTGAGTCCATGTGAGTCCTGCAACCCTGGGAATAAATTTTCCTAGGGGGGAAATGCCGGGGGGGGGGGGGGGGTCAGCAACTATTAGTGCCTTTCGCTGACAGATCATAGGATCCATCCCAAACTTTAGAACTGAAACGGTGGTCTGGGCTTTCAAATTGTAAAGGCAAACAGTGTGTTCTTTGATTCAGGTTTGCCAGCTGATAACCAAACCATGGTTTTGGTATTTATGACATGATAATAATTGGGCAACCTTAACCATGGTTTGGTGTGTTGTCTCAGCTGAGCCGAAGGAATACATTGTGTATAAAAGTTACTGAATCTGTATTCACACTCTATGGCTGAATTAACATTGTAGCACTAAACTGAAAATGAGTGAAAAGGTGTTAGCCTAAAGGCATGTCATGGAAGAGCCACAGGCTAGCATAGCCACAGCTTTCTGCATGCCAGAATCTTACTAGTCTGCAGCTTGTGTTTGGACCATCAGTAATCCGTGCAGGAAACAGGAACAGTTGTTTGCCAGTGTCAGATGTACTGAATCTGAGCGCCTGACATCTGAAAACCTTGGAAGTGCCTTTGTGCTGACAGAGGAATTCAGTATGTTTTATACCATCCCTGATCTCTCTCGTCACAGTCTGAGACAATGGTTTTCTCAAAACCTGTTAATGGATTAGATTGTCTCTCTCATTGTCGGTGATTCAGCAAAACTGTAGAGTTAGGAAAAAGATTTTCCTATTCATACTGTTTTCTCTTAAATCTACAGCTGTGTTCTGCAACTGGTTCTTAACAAGGGCCATATTTTGAAAGCAGAAGAAAGACTAAATGACCAGCACTGTTCTTACCCCCTGAAGTTTCTTTTGCCCTCTAGCTTCCAGCATGAACAGCACCAAGGTGCTCCCTTTAGACAGCTTGCACTTGTTCAACTAAATCTGACATACACCTAGGAGTGAACAGCTGAGGTGCATGAGGAGAGAACTCTGACAGAGCCTGTGTCTTGCTGTTCACACCAAAGGTGGAAGCATAGGGATTAAAGAGGACTTTGTCAGCTCAGGAGAAGGCCATCATGTTGCCTAATGGAAAGGAGATTCTTGGGGCTAGAGATTCCCTGGGATGTTAAATAAGCCCTCCAGTACCTTTATTCTCAGCTTATAGAGAGCTGCAAGTTTTTATTTGTTGTATGAGTGGTCAGTTGCAGAGCTCCCCTACCTTCAGATCTGCCTTGCTTTGGATTCTCTCACAGTCTGAAATCCAGCAAGAAATTGCTCAGACTATGGGGGTGGTAATTTCACCGTGGATGTCCATCTGGAGGAGGCAGCTTACCATTGTCCTGCAGGCTGATCCTACACAAAAAATATAAATATGCAAACTCTTTGATCCTAGGACTAGAGCTTTAGAAGGACATCTGATTTAAACCTGCTAATTGGGTTTAATGTGTTATTTTGCTAGTGACTACCATATTTTAATTGCTGTTTTATTGTATGCGTATATTGTGTTTGTTATGATAAGTTTTCTATGAAAACCCTTTTAGGATAGTGTGGTACTAAGTTTTTAAAATATGGTAATAAGAAAGAAAGCACAATGCTAAAAAATCTACCATCCCTGTGACACTTTAATGCTGGAAAATGTAACAAACACTGTGTGTTTCTGTACTCAGAGGAATGGATCCTGCAGATCTGTTTTGCAAGCTGTGGTGTGAGGAACCTTCTCCCCCTCCCCCAGTATTTTTTTTAAGAAACAACAACACAATAAAAATATAACAACAATTGTAACAGTACTTCTAAGTAATAAAAACAATCTTGACTTACTTAAAAGGAACTGAATGTTAAGAACATTGCAGAATACCCATAATATCTTGAACATCAATTACCATGAGTGAAGAGTGTTTATTACATCCAGTATCACTCCTTGAGAAGCAAGATAAGATAAAATAGGAAACCAAATGCTAGTAAATTCATTATACCCATCAATATCATTTGTTGGTTTCATGTCTGCTGCTTTTTCCATTATATATAGGTTCCACAACATACTGTGCCATAAACTTAGATTGGGTTTACATTCTGATTTCCATTTCGATGCAATGGTTGTTCTTACTGCAAATAACAGTAATGTGATTCTCTTTTTTTGTACATTAGATAAGTTGTCTTCATTTCTAAAATTTAAGAGAATTGATTCAGGACTTTAGTAAGTAATGTGCCTTATTTGTTCCAATATTTCATCCCAGAAAATTGTAATTACTGGACATTCCATCCAACAATATACATAGGTCCCAATCTCTTTACATTTTCTCCAACAAAAGGGATCAGATGGGCTCTTTTTGTAGCAGGAACTCCTTTGTTTACAGGAACTCCCTGTAAGAAGAGCTCTGTAAGCTCTTGGAGGATTGGCTACATTAGGGGTGTGTCGCTTAAGATGCAAAGGAGTTCCTGCTACAAAAAGAGCCCTGTGTCATGATTTTAAAGTTTTGCCATTTCAATGAAAATATAGGTGAGTTATTTTTATAGTTATTCCATATTTCAAGCCATATGTCATTAATAAGTTCTGTTGAGCATGTTTTTTGCCAATTCTTCTGATGATCCAAGGCTTCTTACATCAGGAGAAGGCTCCTTGTGCGGGAGGGAAGCACAACTGTTAGTTGAATGGGTCTGTGATATCTGACCAGTCAGCTTGTAGAGGTTGTTTCCTGAATGTTGTATGTTATGGAGCCCTGACCCAGATAGCCCAGGCTAGCCTTGTTTTGTCAGATCTTGGAAGCTAAGCGGAGTCAACCCTGGCAAGTAGTTGGAAGGGGGGGACCACCGAGGAATACCAGCGCTGTGACGCAGAGGCAGGCAAAGGCAAACCACCTCTGAACATCTCTTGCCTTGAAAACCATTTGGGGGTTGCCGTAAGTCGGCTGCGACTTGACAGCAAAAAAAGAACAGGGTTATAGAAGAACCATACGTAACACCTCTTTGTTTTTCTACATTGTTTTGTAGGTTCCCGTTAAAGGACGCGAAGCGACTGATCCAATGGTTAAAAGCAGTTCAGAGGGATAACTGGATTCCCACCAAGTATTCCTTTCTCTGCAGCGAGCACTTCACTAAAGACAGCTTTTCAAAACGGCTGGAAGACCAGCATCGACTGCTCAAACCCACAGCTGTGCCAACCATTTTCCAGCTTTCAGAGAAAAGGGGAGATAGCAGGGATTATGTCAAGAGGAGGAGGAAAGTAGCAAGCCAGGCTCTGTACGGAGATGGCAGACCACCAAAGGAAGGAAACTGTGAGGTAATGGAGGGGATCTTATCTTCTGACCAAGACTCAATAATGGATGGGACTCAAGAAATGGAGCGAGTGACTCTTCAAGCTGAAATTGGGTCACTCTCTGAGCAGGGAGAGAATTTCCAGGTCCAGCTTGAAGGCTCCCTGAGAAGGATGCTAGCAGATAACCTAGTCACAAAAGTGGCCCAGAATAAGCCAGAGAAGCCTTCTGTAGAGGATTGTTCTGAAATGGTGATACATCCTGGGAATTTGAAAATAGACCGAAGTGGTATGTCAGAAGATGATTTCACACCTCCTGTGTCTGGGGCTTGCAAATTTATTGGCTCTCTTCACTCTTACAGCTTTTTCTCCAAGCACACCAGAGAAAAGTCATCTTTTCCAAAGGAGCAACTTGAAAGGAAACGGTTAAGAAGAAATGTTGAACCTAGCTGTAGTAATAACACAGTGGAGCAGGATGGAAGTTTAACAGAAACCTCCTCCACTTCCTCTCTTACTGTTGTTCCCCAAAAACCGTCCCAAAGCCTGTCTGCATCCCCTGCAGATCTGACTCCTAAGCCTGCAACAGAAGCTGTTGTAGGTCCAAAGGGAGACACCGATGCCAATCCCATGTCAATCAATGAGGTCATCATGTCTGCTTCCGGAGCCTGCAAGCTCATTGACTCCCTCCATTCATACTGCTTCTCCTCTAGGCACAGCAAAAGCCAAGTGTGCTGCTTAAGAGAGCAGGTGGAGAAGAAGAACGGGGAGCTGAAACTGTTGAGACAGAAGATCAGCCGCTCTGACAGCCAAGTTAGGAAGCTGAAGGAAAAGCTAGATGAACTGAAGAGGATCAATTTCCCATTCCTGAGCAACCTGCTGTCTCAGGACGGTGGTCAGTATTTTGTGTACATACACACAGCTGGGGCACAGTTACTATCAAGATAAACCCTCCTTAGTTAAATATAACATATTACTCAAAACAGTGTTTCAAGGCAGCTTACTTGTTTCTTCCCTAAGTGTGATCATTTTATCTGGTGAAGCATATAGCCTCAGTTCATATTGAATGTTGGTATTCTCACTCCATGTATATGTCATGTGCCAGTGCACTAACGTTGGGGGGGTATTTGCTGTTCTGAGAATGAACATTTCTGGGGTTATAGTGGTTTTTCCCCCAGTCGCTTACAGTAATAAGCTGTAAATATGTCAAGTTTCATCTTGTCTGGAAGTTTTCTAAAGGTTATTACTCACTGTGTATCTCATATATTTATATACTGTAGGATGATTCTCCATCCTCCATATGTCAGCAGTGTGTATACAATGTTTAGTAGTTGTCATGTTTAAACAGAATCACCATTTGAAGTACAGCTGAAAAGCTGTAAAATCCCAAAATAGAATGTTACTGCAAAACTTGTCCCTCCGTCCCTAGGCAAATAGCCATTTCTTGGCTAAAGGGAGCAGATCTTGCAGCTACTGTGCACAGTCAGTGCTGAAAACAGTGCTGTGGCCCAGCAAGCATGAGCAATCATATTCATGCACACAACCACCAGAGCAATTGAAAAGGGGTTCAGAGTAGGAATCATTGTATACATACCTCTGTAACACAGGTGATTGAAAAGAATAGGAAGAATCAATATGGGAACGATTAAAAGTGATCAATGAGCAAAAGCAGGGCTTTTTGTAGAAAAAGCACAGCAGGAGCTCATTAGCATAACAGGCCACACCCAACAGCAGAAATGCATTAGCATATTAGACCACACCCCTAACAGGACAGCTCATTAGCATATTATGCCACACCCCACATTACTAGAAGTGTGGTCATTCAGCCACACTCACCTTTTGCTTCTTATTCTGTTTACCTTGTTTGTTGTCAAAACCCAGGGCTTTTTTTGTAACAGGAACCCTTTGCATGTTAGGCCACACACCCCTAATGTAGCCAGTCCTAATGAGTTTCTGCTGTTGGGTGTGGCCCAGGGCTATTTTTGGGCAGGAACGCACAGGGACGGAGTTCCAGCTGGCTCCCTAGTTGGCCACACCCAGCAGGAACTCATTAGCATAACAGGCCACACCCAGCAGTAGAAATTCATTAGGATTGGCTACATTAGGGGTGTGTGGCCTAACATGCAAAGGAGTTCCTGCAACAAAAAAAGCCCTGGGTTTTGACAACAAACAAGGTAAACAGAATAAGAAGCAAAAGGTAGGTGTGGCTGGATGACCACACTTCTGGTAACATGGGAATGCGGCCTAATATGCTAATGAATGGTGCAATCAGGGGTGTGGCATAATATGCTAATGAGTTTCTGCTGCTGGGTGTGGCCTATTATGCTAATGAGTTCCTGCTGGACTTTTTCTACAAAAAAAAGCCCTGGCCTATTATGCTAATGAGTTCCTGCTGGGCATGGCCAACTCGGGAGCCAGCCGAAACTCCGTTCCTGTGTGTTCCTGCCCAAAAATAGCCCTGAGCAAAAGGCAGGAGTGTGTAAGTGGGAAGCGGGAGCAAACCCAATCTGTAGCATCTTAGGGTATGGGTGACCTCTCCCAATGATTATGAAGAGCCATGGCTGCCTTCCAGAGGTAGGGACAGCTCATCTGAAGGGGTACAGAGAAAGAAGCTTCCTTCGATCTCTATGGAGTTGTTTGGCACGGTTTCCTAATGTGCTCTGTGGCTTTCTGTGGAAACCATTCTCCTCCAGAGCTCTGAGAATGGGCTGCACAGGTTCTAGAAACCAGAAGAGGCACCATAGCAGCTTGCTGATCGGTAGCATTTTTAGTCCCCACACTCATATACTTTCAACTGTTTTAACTTTTTACTTGCCAGTACTTAAGTGACAGGCCAATGCAAAGTTTAGTATATTTATTTACCCTGCCAGCCAAGTTAAACTCAGTAAAGTTCTGTTCATTTAAATAGGAGGCTTAAACCACGGATGACTCATTCCCATTAAAGTGAATGATTGTTATTGACTTGTGGAAGAAAGTTAAAGACTATATCCATCTCTACTGCTTCAATGGGAGAAGATTTGCTCTCCAAATTGGGATCACTGGGCTCTGGAGTGGGGGCCAAGTTTTGCTGCTGTTTAGAACAATCCCTGCTGGTTTCTGTGGATGAAAGGAAAGAGCCTCTATGGTGGGACGTAGTTGGGGGGGGGGTGAGCTTTCTCCCTACTCCAGAATCTGAATGTGAGGGCGTTGGATAGCCTTTGTCCAACCTTAGTTGTACCTTTTCTTCTTTCCATAGAAGTCAGTGAGAGCTGTTTGTTACTGGGAAAAGGGAAAAACATGGCATATGCTTAACTCTGCCAGTAACCTGGCTCTGTCATGCTGAAGATGTTAAAATTAATATACAAAATTTATGAATCAGCGTGGGGAGGGGGCTGTAATGATTAGGTCATTTATCTCTGGATAGAGACTAAGATGAGCTATGGCTTTCTGCGTTTCTTCTGTACAATGGAGTGGGACGCACATTTCCGCATGTGCATTGTGGCTTCCTTTGTTGATTACTTTTTTCTCATAAGAATGATAGAAACAAAAAGGAAACAATTGTGATCTGGATACATAACTGCTTTCTGAAAGAATATCAGCTTCATTTGTAGGTAGATGTGACTGACCATTGAAACAGAAGTAACTGGGAGGGCTGGAAGGAAAGTTAGATGTTAAGACTGAATTCTATTAATTTATGTGATTTAAGCAGAAATGCATTCTTTCATGGTTTATGGATAAGTTTGTCAGTGTAAAATGTTATTCCTAGTATGCGTATTTATTTGTCAATGTTTATATGCAAATCCTCTGTCTTCCCTCTATAGCCTGTGAATTCTTGCCAGATTTCTCTGGTAAACTATACAGAAAAGTTATTTATGTACAGGTTTGCTAGTTTGACTTTCTTAACTCTAACATTCTTTGCCTCTGGCTTGGATTCTGGGTCTTATAATAATGGAATTTAAAGCTGAAGGTTTATCTTTGTGTGCTCCCAGTGTGAACTTCACCTTCAAAATCTGATAAGGCAATGGGCATCTTTAAGAATTCCAAATGTAATAACAATATATGACACCACTTTGTCTACTGTTTACTGGAAGTAAACTACAAGTCCCAGCATACAGTGGGGTAACCTCTATGTAGAGTTGCAAGGTTGTTTCCTGTCTTCTCT